GGAACTGTTCATAATTCCCTCCACCTTGACTAAGGCCCCAGTTCCAGCTGAAGAAACACAGCCCCAAAGCATGATGCTGCTACCACCATGCTTCACTGTGGGTATGGTGTTCTTTTGGTGATGTGCAGTGTTGTTTTTGTGCCAAACATCTTTTGGAATTACGGCCAAAAAGTTCAACCTTGGTTTCATCAGACCAGAACACATTTTCCCACATGCTTTTGGGAGACTTCAGATGTGTTTTTGCAAAATGTAGCCGGACTTGGATGTTTTTATTCGTAAGAAAAGGCTTCCGTCTTGCCACTCTACCCCATAGCCCAGACATATGAATAATACGGGAGATTGTTGTCACATGGACCACACAGCCAGTACTTGCCAGATATTCCTGCAGCTCCTTTAATGTTGCTGTAGGCCTCTTGGCAGCCTCCCAGGCCAGTTTTTTCATCAATTTTGGAGGGACGTCCAGTTCTTGGTTATGTCACTATTGCGCCATATTTTCTCCACTTAATGATGACTGTCTTCACTGTGTTCCATGGTATATCTAATGCCTTGGAAATCCTTTTGTACCTTTCTCCTGACTGATACCTTTCAATAATGAGATTCCTCTGATGCTTTGGAAACTCTCTGCTGACCATGACTTTTGCTGTAGGATGCGACTAAGAAAATGTCAGGAAAGACCTACTAGAATAGCTGAACTTTATTTGGGGCTAATCAGAGGCACATTAAATGATGGTGGGTGTGTACTGACTCCTATTTAACAGGATTTTGAATGTGATTGCTTAATTCTGTACACAGCTACATCCCCAGTTATAAGAGGGTGTGCACACTTATGCAACCACATTATTTTAGTTTTTTATGTTTGCTCCCCCCCCTAAAAGATTTTAGTTTGTTTTTCAATTGAGCTGTACAGTTCATAGGTCACATTAAAGGTGGAAAAAGTTCTGAAATAATTTATCTTCATCTCATTTTTTCACATCACAGAAACCTGACATTTTAACAGGGGTGTGTAGACTTTTTATATTCATTGTATATGAATACCAGCAATATCGTATGTACTCTCCAGCGCCTCAGCATATGCACAGCCAAAAGGGAACCAAGGGTACCAGGGCAGCGACAACCAAAGGAAATGCTTCAGGGGTGCAGCCCTCCTCAGATGGGGAAATCAGCCACTGGATAGAGAGAAAACAGGTGGCGCACACACCTAGTGCATTATCCAAGGTTTATTGTAGGAATGAAAGAATAATAAAAACATACTCGCAGACGAAGCATGTATCTAAAAAGCATAGAAAAATGACAATGGCCACAACGGCAGCCATTTGACCACACTGACAGTGAGAACACCTTGCCTGCCGTTGTGGCCATTGTCATTTTTCTATGCTTTTTAGATACATGCTTCGTCTGTGAGTATGTTTTTATTATTCTTTCACTCCTACAATAAACCTTGGATAATGCACTAGGTGTGTGCGCCACCTGTTTTCTCTCTATGAATATAAATATATAAAACCAAAAAAGTATTTAAAATGTAAAATAAATTATGTTCTAAATAAATTGAAAAATTTAATGGATTTGAAGGTATTATATGTAATTTCCTTTTAATGAGGTAGTAAATCGCAGCAAAACCCCCCAAAAAACTGGGCCCCAGGCAGTTTAAGTCATAATGTGCTAGTATGCTCAGCATACCCGTGCCATTCCTTCAAAGCCCCATGTCGTAAAGAGTGACTCCCGTGCACATGTGCAGGAGTGATGTCACAGTTCAGTCATTCATACCGCTGAAGCCCGCAAACTCGGAAGTAAGACCGGGTGAAAATGGAGGCACCTACAGTGGCACGTTATGGCAGACTTACCTGAAAATGAATCCCTCCAGTAGCATGCTGTCACCGCTGTAGGCACCTCCATCTTCACCTGGTCTTCCTTCCAGGTTTGCAGGTTTCAGCGGTATGTATGGCTGAGCCACGATGACATCACTCCCCCGCATATACACGTGGGGGCCACTCTTTATGGCACAGGGCTCTGAAGGAACGGCACGGGTATGCCATTCCTTGAGAGCACATGCGTCGGTGATGTCACTGGCTGCTGCCAGAGTAAATATCTCCTAAATGTGCACCGATATTTACCGTACCTGTAGGTAACAGTTAACCAAGGGCGTTTACTCCCACAAGAATATGTACAGCCTGAACTTTTTGTGTTAGATTTGTATAGAGTGTGGAATTCTAAGAACCTCTGTCCTCATTGGGGAGACTCCCCCTCATTTGTCTTGGAAAGTATCATTAATGGTACAGGATGTAATGGGAAATCCAAACACGTCACAGGAACAGGAGGTAAATGGAAATCTTCCAATAGATATAACCCCTCGCCTACAGGGCACTTATACCCTCTTCCTGCCCAGACCAATTTCCAGCTTTCAGCGCTCTTGCACTTTGAATGACAATTGCGCGGTCATGCAACACTGTACCTATATGAAATTTTTATCATTTTTTTTGTGACAGAGAGAGCTTTATTTTGGTGGTATTTAATCACCTCTGGGTTTTTTATTTTTTCTTAAACAAACCAAAAACCACTGAAAATTTTTTTTTTTTTTTAGTTTTTATTATAAAATTTTGTAAATAAGTAATTTTTCTCCTTCACTGATGTGAGCTAATGAGGCTGCAGTGATGGGCACTGATAGGCTACACTGATGGCCACTGATGAGGCACTGGTAGGTGGCACTGATGGGCATTGACAGGCATCACTGATGGGCACTGATAGGCGGCACTGACTGGCACTGTTAGGTGGCACTGATAGGCAGCACTGATGCACACTGATAGGTGGCACTGACTGGCACTGATAGGAGGCACTGAAAGACAGCTCAGATGGGCACTGATATGTGGCACTGACAGGTGGCACGGATGAGCACTGAAATGTGGCACTGATGGACACTGACAGGTGGCACTGCTGGGGCTACACAGATCATCAAGGTACACTAATCATCAGTGCTCTGATGATCAGTGTACATGTCCCCTCCGAGGAATGCCGATTACCGGCTCTCGTCTCCTCTGTCAGCGTGACAGCTCATGAGGAGAGAAATGCCGATAACCAGCATTTCCCTATTTACACGTGATCAGCTGTGATTGGACACAGCTGATCACATGACTGAGCCAACATCTTCAGCTCTTTCCATTGATCGGTGATCCACTGTGTCCGAGGGACACAGTGCACCACCGATCCCGTAGCCACGCATGCGCGGTTAGAATGGGAAAACCGCCTTGCGCCCGTCATTACGTTATATGGTAGGCGGGAGGTGGTTAATAAAGGATATCTCCTCAAGATGGAAAGATCTCCTTTTCACCAAGAGTGAACGTAGAAAAAAAGATCCAAAACTTTGGGTTGTCACTAGAACAGGAATAGAGGGAAAATCCTCCAATGGAGACACTATTTCTGGTAACAACCAGGGATTCCTTCACTTTGGATAGAGTTTCTCTCATTTCCTGCTTTGGCTATGGGACAAGATGTCAAGGGAAATCTACATGGCTGAAAGAAAAAAAAAATACAATCTGATCTTAGAGTAGAACTAAAAGAAAATCTTATTTTTTCATTTTGGATAGAGTAAGGGAAGGTTATATAAACCCTGTCAGGGTTTTTTCCCTATCTTTGTCCCACTGGGGCGATTTTGTTTTTTCATTTTCTGTCCCATAGCCAAAACAGGAAGTGAGAGAAATTCCCTCCAAAGTGAGGGAATCCCTGGTTATTACCAGAAGTAGTGTCCCCATTAGATGATTTCCCCTCTATTCCTGGTCTAGTGACAACCCAAAATATGGATTTTTTTACTTTCACTCTCAATGATAATGATAAAAAAAGACAAATTGAGTGGGTGAATCTCCCTAATGGGGGCACAGACAGCAATAAAAACCTGGAGCTGCAGAATTCAACTGTTTGCCAACAGTTTCACGTAGATGAATTCTGCCAATTGCAGAAAAGGCTTTGGATGAGACCCCTGGGATGGTTAGAGATGTGAATGATGGAATAGCAGCTTGTATGACGTTATCTTACAATCAATTGCAGTCGGGAACACCTGAGCAACCGAATACTTATTTTCGTGAATGAAATGTCAAATGAAGAGACAGTGAACTTAAGATTTCACACGCCAACGCATCAAAAGATAACCAGAAGACTGCATTAGAACCCTGCGTGGAGTGAAGCATTCAGAATCGCTTTAATAAGATCACAGCTCAAAAAAGAAGAAAAAAACTTCCCATGGCAATCAATTGTGCATCTCTATTTCTGACTTTTGTTTGGAGATAGGAGACCCCGGCCTCCTGGTCTGCCTAACATGTGACACTTCCGCGTCATTGTGGATTTGACAGTCTGGTCTTCTGTGCAAAAAATAAACCATAGCAAATGAAATACAGATTTAGGGCAGAGAGGATGAAAGCCAGTTACGCCACTGGGAGGGTCACCAGACTCCGGTTCACACGATAACATCGGGTTTTCTCAAAAGGGATGGCAACTCTTTCCCACTTTACAGCTACTTTGCCTTAAAGTGGACCTGTCACTAAAATATAAAACACTGGCTGACACAGCAGTAACAAACCACATCACTATTCTGAGCTAAAGGAGTATCTTTAAAAAAAATAAAATAAAAATAAAATAAAAAACATATATAGCTTTTGCATTCTCCTGAGTGACCAAAAAGATCTAAATCACATGGTCCACTGTTTTCGATGAAACATGTTCTGTTTGGTTGACCTCATGTAAGACAGAAGGATTGGCAGGCACTGTGTAGCACAGGCTTTCAACCCTTTTAAACCCAAAGGAACCCTTGAAATAATGTTCAGGTCTCAGGGATCACCTGCTAAAAATGATTTTGTACACAAATTGCAGTATGTTAGCCAAACCACATTGCTAGTATCCCCTTACATTAGTGGTCATTAGGAAGAATACCCTTTTACACTGGTGGTCCATGTGGTTTCCCATACATTATGGGACAGTTACTTGGCCTTAGAAGAATGTTCCTTACATGGACGTCAGTGGGAAGAATCTCCCTTACATTGGGGGCAAGAGGGAAGAACGCTCCTTACATTAGTGGTCAGTGGGAAGAACGCTCCGTACATTGGAGGTCAGTGGGAAGAATGCTCCGTACATTGGAGGTCAGTGGGAAGAATCTCCCTTACATTGGGGGCAAGAGGGAAGAACGCTCCTTACATTGGTGGTCAGTGGGCAAAGAACGCTCCGTACATTGGTGAGGTCAGTGGGAAGAATGCTCCATACATTGGAGGTCAGTGCAAAGAATGCTCCGTACATTGGAGGTCAGTGTGAAAAATGCTCCTTACATTGGTGCTCAGTGCGAAGAATGCTCCGTACATTGGTGGTGATCAGTGGGAAGAATGCTCCTTACAGTGTGAACAATGCTACTTACATTGGTGCTCTCAGCGCGAAGAATGCTCCGTACATTGGTGATCAGTGGGAAGAATGCTCCTTACATTGGAGGTCAGTGTGAAAAATGCTCCTTACATTGGTGCTCAGCGCGAAGAATGCTCCGTACATTGGTGATCAGTGGGAAGAATGCTCCGTACATTGGAGGTCAGTGGGAAGAATGCTCCTTACATTTACATTGGAGATCAGTGGGAAGAATGCTTCCTACATTAGTGGTAAATGGGAAGAACGCTCCTGTCAGGGATTGCTCCCTCGCTGTCACGCAGTTGTGCGCCGAATCCCTGTCAGCTGCGGCGGTGCGAGTGCGCAGGGAGCGCACATGTCACCGCAAGGCGGGCTATTTAAATCGCTAACACAGTTTAGCCTATGCCTTCTGGTCTATAACGTCCTGTACAGCATAACCTGATTCTGTTGCCTGTATCTGATCTGACCCTGACTCCACCTGCACCAACCCAGCTTATCCCTGACTATCCGCTTGCCTGCTCCCTTGTACCTCCCTTGTACCTGATCCGCCCGATTGATCCTGACTCGGCTTGTCTGACACCGCTGTACATACCTGCACCTGGCCTGTATCCTGGTTGCCGCCATACCTACCTAGTGAGAAGAATGCCCCTTACATTGGTGGTCAGTGGGAAGAATGCTCCTTACATTGGAGGCCAGTGGGAAGAATGCTTCTTACATTAGTGATAATTGGGAAGAATGTCCCTTACAGTGGAGGTCAGTGAGAAGAATGCTTCTTACATTGGGATCAGAGGAAAGAATGCTTCCTAGATTGGTGGTAATTGGGAAGAATGCGTCTTACACTGGGGGTTAGTGAGAAGAATTCCCCTTACATTGGTGGTTAGTGGGAAGAATGCTCCTTACATTGGTGGTCAGTGAAAAGAATGTTCCTTACATTGGAGGCCAGTGGAAAGAATTCTCCTTACATTGGCGATCAGTGGGAAGAATGCTTCTTACATTAGTGGTAATTGGGAAGAATGCCCCTTACATTGGAGGTCAGTGAGAAGAATGCTTCCTACATTGGTGGTAATTGGGAAGAATGATTCTTACACTGGGGGTCAGTAGAAGAATTCCCCTTACATTGGTGGTTAGTGGGAAGAATGCTCCTTACACTGGGTCAGAGGGAAGAATGCTCCTTACATTGGGGGTTAGTGAGAAGAATTCCCCTTACATTGGTGGTTAGTGGGAAGAATGCTCCTTACATTGGGGGTCAGTGAGAAGAATGCTCCTTACATTGGGGGTTAGTGAGAAGAATGCTCCTTACATTGGTGGTTAGTGGGAAGAATGCTCCTTACATTGGGGGTTAGTGAGAAGAATGCTCCTTACATTGGGGGTTAGTGAGAAGAATGCTCCTTACATTGGGGGTTAGTGAGAAGAATGCTCCTTACATTGGTGGTTAGTGGGAAGAATGCTCCTTACATTGGGGGTTAGTGAGAAGAATGCTCCTTACATTGGTGGTTGGTGAAAAGAATAATCCTTACATTGGTGATCAGAATGCCTTTATAGATCGTTAACATGATCCTTGAGTGGTTACTTACCTGAGTAAAAAAGAGGAGAAGGTCCACGGGTGCCAAAGGCTCTGCCAAGCAGAACTACGCAGGCCCTATCAGGTGATCCATCATTGAACCCCTAGAAGCCTCTGGAGGAACCCTGGTTGAGACTGGCTGGTGTAGTCTACAAGCAAGAAGCGGAGCCTGTGTATTTAAGAAATGAATAAGGCTGCCCCGTGCACATACATAACTACACAGAATGTTTTATCGCACTGTGTCCCTCCTGCCCTGACAGCAAGTGATGCACACTGCAGCTTACAGCAACTTCCTGAGGGAAGCAAAGTATGCAGGGAAACCGAAACGCCTATTTCAACATCTACCCACTATACACCAGAAAGGGAGAAAATGCTACATAAAGAACATCAAGAATCATAGAAGGCAGAATATTGGTTATTTGGCATGTACCCTTTCCTAGCTGCACTAGGACCTCTGGTTTTCAATATTTGCTTGACATTTTTGTCTTTCTGGGTTTTTCTTTTACACCCTTTGTTGCATCTCAGTGCTGCTGACCTCCTGCATCCTCTTTGCAGCGTTTTCCTGTCTACATGCTCTCCAGCAGGATCACCAGGTATTATTTTAAATTAAAGCTGAAGATTTTAAAACGATTAAAAGTGACTTCTGAAATGACATGAATGTTCATGCTTATATAAGAATTTAGCGATTGGGTTTACATATACTTTAAAGCCCATCTCTGGGGAAAGTAAAAATCCTCCCTTTCAATGGGGATTCCCCCGCTCTGCAACAGTTAAATGCTTGGTTAGGTCTAAAGGGTAGCAAAAAGTCATTATTCTTACCTGATCCTCTGCTCCACTGTCAGCCGGAGGTCTCCTCTATTCCACTACGCTGCTGCGGTGGACTGTCCCTTGGCATCCTCATGTTCAATGCAGGGCTTTGGGCTCTGCATTGGACTTGATGAAGACAGAGGACCTTACTGGAGGGGGGAGGCTTCAGGGTCCGGTACTACAGCCTGAAGGAAGCCTGCAAAAGTGGAGGATCATTTAGGTAAAACGGCTTTTTGTGCCCCCCCCCAGACCTAAACAAGCATTTAACCCCTGCAAGGCCGCGGCAGCCCCACTTAAACACCTGTTCATACTAATGGTGTTCTCTGAAGAGCAATCTGTACTCAGATTGCTCTTCAGAGAGCATTTGACAGGCTTTAACCCTTTGTTCTCCACACTAGCACTACCACAATAATACGAGTTTATTCACTGCATGCAAAGCAAGTGATTGTGGGGTGTTCCTGAAAGCGACAGGGGGTATAATGCTTGCTGTGACCGCGAAGCAAAGCATCGTGACCATAGCATGTATACACCCCCTAAATTGGGCAGCAGATGGGGAGGGGATAAAAGTGTGGCTCAACTGCTGGGTTTTACTGCCCTCCTACAGCCAGTGTGAATGAACCCTTGGGGAGTGTACACCCCCTTCCTGAAAATAAATAGGAAAAGTCAAATAAGATTTTGAAATAAGTAGCTACATGAAAAGTCTGCATTCATCAGAAGAATCTAGGATTTTATGTTCTGGGCTGTAAGTACGGAGTTGCCCTTTACCAGCAAAGAGGAAATCTTGGAGCAGATCCAGCAGGATAGCGGAGACCGGAGTGATTGATTTCACACCGACTGCACGGAGAAAAGGAAAAGCGGAGTAAAATAAACATTATTTCTGAGCCTGGGACTCTTTTTAAGAGCGTGTTTGTCATCGGAAAAGTATGCCCTTTAAAGGCGAGAGCGAGAGAGGCTGCAGGCGGCCCCTATGACAAGGCACTATCAACATTCGCTCACTGACATGCGCCGGGCAGCTTCAAGCTGTGATAACAGTTTATTTACTGCGGTTGCACTGAGCGTTTAAAGACCATTACAGAGATATTTTTACTCTGATCCATCGCATTTTCGTTTGCTAAAAGTCACGATGCTCAAAACTGAACTCTAGATAAACAACTAAACACACAGATAAGACACGCATATGGAAGATGTCTTCTGTGCCAAAGGATCTGGAATTGTGTTCAGCCACTGTTGTGATTCACAAACCTCTGCCAGACAGTGCAGCCAGGAGGGTGACACCACTTTCTCTGCCGTTGCTTCACCAGGACACAGAAATTCTCATCTCCGTATGTGTCTCTCCCTCGCCATCTGGATAAGCGAGGCACCAATCTCTCGCCAATGACTTTCTGACCTGTTTTCACCCAGTAGGGAGCGGCACCTTGCACATCCAGCCCGCGAGGAAGTGAATCCTCTCACTGTAATGTGATATTGGATATTACATGTAGGTGTTGGGGGACATGCATGTGTTAATGCGTTCATTACTGCAACGCACATTACATGTGTCGATATGTTGCTGTGCCATTCATTTTGAGTGGTACCCAGGGGCGGACTGACAACTCATGGCAATAAAAATACTGCATGTGTTCTGCTCTAGAACCCTGGTGCCCAACCTGTGGCTCAAGGGCCGCATGTGGACCTTTGGTATATGATGTGCGCCCCTTGGACCTCAGTAGTCTGTAGTGGGAACATTGATTAAAGTAATGACATTGATCCCTACAGGGGTGGACTGACAACTCATGGGGCCCCTGGGCAATAGGGGATCATGGGGCCCCTGTGTCCTTGCCCAAGCTCAAAAAAGCCTATAAAAAAGGTACCAGGGGCATCTCATAGGGCCCCCTACTGACCCCGGGACCTCGGCAGTGGCCGAGTTTCCAAATGGTCAGTCCGCCCCTGGTGGTACCCCAACACACTAAGGCAACATACATTCATTGCAAGATGCAGGAACAAATGGCAATGCCCCGTAGTACACTGAAACAAAAATGTTGTGACACATCCAAATTTAAGAAGCATTTTGGTGGGTTGGAAGCCCATTGATTTCAATAGGCTGCCTTAAAGTGATAAGTGTAATAAAGTGATTCCCCATGTGAAGGGGAAGAGAGGAGAGAAGAGATCAGTGCTGTGCAGGGCTGCATCTCTTCTCCTTTCTCTTCCTCCCCACACAGAGACTCAAACAGCAGCAGGAGCCATTGCCTCTTGCTGCTGTCAATCAAATGCAGTGAAGATGAAGTCAGTGGCAGGGCTAAGTCCCACTGTGTGTGTCAATGGAGCGTGTTTCTGTAGACACAAAGTTAGGGAGCGAGCATGCACCGTGTGCCCCCTAGCAAAAGGCTTGCTGTGGGGACACACAAAGAAGAGGAGGAGCCAAGACTGCTGGTGGGGGACCCGAGAAGAGGAGGATCAGTCATTGCACAGAGCAGGCGGGTATAAAATATAGGCTATTTGAATAAAAAAAAAAAAAAAAAAATCAGACTTTAGTAACACTTTAATGCAACGTATGTTAGTCCCAGCCATGGGAGTTGATCAAGTGACCAAGGGAGGAGGTGTAGATGGAGAAGAGAAGGGGTCCAAGGACAGAATCTTGAGGCACCCCTACAGAAAGAGGGAGTGAAGAGGAGGAGACAGAGTTATAAGTAACACTGAAGGAGCGCTGCGATAGGTAGGAGGAGAACCAGGAGAGAGCAGTGTCTCTGAGACTCTTATTCCCACACTACTGTTGGGTCCAGGATCATGTGTCATTCTCCAGGTTTTGGGAATATGCGTTTCTCCTCTTCACTGATTTGGTGATGTATCAATCTGGGCACTCCCACATGTCATGCTTTTTGACCCAACATTAACCGCTTCCCATCTGCCCTATAGCAGAAATACTGCTACAGGGAGGCACGGGTGTGCAAAATCACATATATATATATATACATGAGTTTGCATTCATGGGTAGGGGGCGCACGTGAGCCGTGCGTACACCCTACCACACTGCCATACGTGGCTGTCAATCACCGGGTCCCAGAAGGTAATTATTCGTCAGCACCCGGTGATTCCCGACGATCACTGACGGGGAGGAGAACTGTATTGTTTACTAACAGTTCTCGTCCCTGTCTGCTCAGGCAGCTTGCAGAAGCACCAGCACACCTCCCTCTAGTAAAACACTCCCTGCACATAATTAACTCTTTGACTGCCCCAGATGTTAACCCCTTCCTGCCCAGTGCCATTAATACAGTGTCAGTGTTTTTTGTTTTTTTTTAGCACTGATCACTGTATTGGTGTCACTGGGGATGACAAAAATCCAGTACCTGTACCGCCATTTGTAAATGCTATAACTTTCACGTAAACCAATTAATTTACACCTAATGGGATTTTTTTTAGCAAAGACATGTCGCAGAATACATTTTGGCCTAGATTTATGACGAAATTTTAAATTTTTTTTACTGGATATGTTTAATAGCAAAAAGTCAAAAATATCAATTTGTGGGGAAAAAAGGACGTAAATTTCAATTGGGTGCAACGTTGCATGACCGCGCAATTGTCAGTTAAAGTAATGCAACGTAAGAAATGGCCTGGTCAGGAAGGGAGGTGAATCTTCAGGAGGGCAAGTAGTTAAAGTGAATTTCGATTTTAACTATTCCTGGGCTTGTGACTCTATTGACTTCTACGGGGTTGGTTGGGAGCAGTCCTTTATTTGTTGTTTAACCAATTCAATACCGGGCAATTTTCCCCCTTCCTGCCCAGGCCATTTTTCAGGTTTCAGCGCTCTCACACTTTGAATGACAATTGCGCGGTCATACAACATTGTACCCAAACTAAAATTTTATCATTTTCTTCACACAACTAGAGCTTTCTTTTGGTGGTATTTAATCACCACTGGGGTTTTTATTTTTTGCTAAATTAACAAAAAAAGACCAAAAATTTTGAAAAAAAAAAGTTTTTCTTTGTTTCTGTTATAAAAGTTTGCAAATAAATAATTGTTCTTCATAAATTTAGGACTCCCTCCACCAGACACCTTTCCCACCCTTGGAAACGAAAAAAAAGTTAATGAGCAACTCACACCTAGCTAATCTCAACACATACTGCTGTCTCTGCTTCTACTCTCTGTATTTCTCTGAAATAGTTAATAATTTACCACTTTTCAGT